CTGTAGCTTTCTTATTGGCTGGCCTCTTGCTTACATACTACCTCAAGTCGCACCAAACTATATCTAGATGCCCAGTGCAAACACTCAGACACTCACTTTCAAGATTCAGCTCAAGCATCCTCTGTCCTTTGTGAAACCTTTTCCTGGCAGCCCCATTCCACCTTTCTCTGCCCACAACCAATCCTTTCTTGAAATACATGATTCTAAGCAAAGTGAAATACAAGAGGTTGTTAAAAAAAATTTTAGAAATACAAAATCAAGAATATCCACCAAAGCAATACCTAACTAGAAGTCTATAGCTTTGCCAACAACAATTCACATCTCCCTTAGAACTACCGGATTTAAATCCTTAGAAATAAGCAATCACAAAACAGAACCATTTTCAAATAGAATGTACTGTTTTTGCCCAGATTATGAAGGATATAAGTTAAAACATAACTAAGTGTATACTGTGCTGTCTCCCCGGATGTAAATGTGATTATAACTGTAATTTTATTAGAAGCCTGGTGCATGAAAATCCGTGTATTCGGGGGTTGGGGAAGTCCCTCAGCCAGGCCTGCACCCTCTCACAATCCAAGACTCCTCGGGTAGAGTCCCTAGGCCTGGCCTGAGATTAGGGCCTATCGGGGCTTTCCCAAAGCACTCCTTGTCCTTCTTGATAATGTTTGATGACCTTTGATACCACCAAGGCAGCTAGCTGCAGTTGGTTCATGGCTCAATCTCCAGACCCACCTCTGCCTTTCCCTGCTGTGCAGGGGGTGGAGCTAAAAGACTTGGTGGTCCAGCCAGTGCCTTCCCTGAGGGATGCCATCTTTCCAGTGTGACAGGAAGAAAGAGCTGTAGTGTTTTATTCTAAGGTTCTTTGTAACACTCAAAATTCCTTTGAATGGGGCCCAAAACAAAAGACCTGAAAGAATGTTTGACTTCATATTCATTTCAACAAATATAATTTGAAAAATTTTCTAAGCACAAAATACCAGTGTTGAATGTTTCCTTTGATTTAAAAAATTTTATTTTGGCAATATTTTACTAAGTGTTATAATCATATTAATTATTCTTCTTTTACTGAGCTAAAATTCATATAACATAAACTTGACCATTTTAAAGTATACAATTCATTAACTTCCCTTATCTTCAAAATGTTGTGCAATCATCATCACTAATTCCAAAACATGCTAAAAAGAAACCCCATACCAATTAAGCAGTTACTCCCCAATGCTCCCTCATCCCAGACCTTGACAACCATTAATCTGCTTTCTGTCTCTATGGATTTGCCAATATTGTACATTTCATATAAATGGAATCATACCATATGTTCTGAACACTCCTTTATATGAGACACTATGTGGGTTTTAAGCACGTAATTAATTAAAAGTCCAACGACTGTTTAATGCCTTTACAATGGTTCTATCATTCATTTCATATGTTCTTATATCTTGGCAAAACTTAATTTAAATGATCACCAAATTTCTAAACCTTGAAATGTCATGCAATTTGCTTTTCACTGCACTTTCTTATGATGAATAACCAAAAACAATGGAACATCTTTCTTTTACAAGAATAATTTTAAAGTATTCTTGGACTGTAAATATTTTTATTTTAGAATCCTAAAATAGTTGGCAGTACTAAATAACATTCTTCATGAACAAAAGCATATTACATTTATTAAGAAAGCATATATTGTCTCTATGGAAAGAAGTGCAACAATGCTAATTATGTTTTAAATCCATTGGGACCACTGAAAGGAGTTACGTATATAACACTGAACTTCTCTTCTGAGCTTGCAGAACATACCACAGGCAAAGAGAAGACCTTAAAATCAAACAGGGAGAACACCAATTTCCTTGAAAGGCAAGACATCACTGACCATAAACATCACATCATCAATAACCAAGGCCAGAAGACCATGCTGAAATCTTCAAAGTGCTGAAAAAATAAACTTCAAATTGTATATCCAGCTAAATTGTATTTCAAAAGTGGGGACCACCAAAACCGGTTTGGCTCAGTGGATAGAACATTGGCCTGCAGACTGAAAGGTCCCAGGTTCGATTCCGGTCAAGAGCATGTACCTTGGTTGCAGGCACATCCCCAGTAGGGGGTGTGCAGGAGGCAGCTGATCAATATTTCCCTCTCATCGGTGTTTCTACCTCTCTATCCCTCTCCTTTACTCTCTGTAAAAAATCAATAAAATATATTTTATTAAAAAAAAAAAGTGGAACAAAGTAGACACTTTTGGCCAAAAAACTTTTAAAAATTTGTCATTTAACAAGCCCTTGATTGAAGAAACACTAAAAATATACCCCAATAAGGAGTGTGTACAAAAAAGGAATCAGGTAGATCTAAATAAGTGCTGACTGTTAAGAAACTAAAAATATACAAAGTTTGGGGCTAGGGACTTGGGGAAGAAGTTAAGTGAAAACAAAGTAGAAGTAAAATAATGGAAATAAAAGAAAATAGCTGAATTCAAAACTTCTAAGGTCCTTGCATGGAGGGAGCTGGAAAAACTTGAGAATTTAGCCGAGACCGGTTTGGCTCAGTGGATAGAGCATCAGCCTGCGGACTGAAAGATCCCGGGTTCGATTCTGGTTCAAGGGCATCTACCTTGGTTATGGGCACATCCCCAGTAGGGGGTGTGCAAGAGGCAGCTGATCAATGATTCTCTCTCATCGATGTTTCTAACTCTCTATCCCTCTCTCTTCCTCTCTGTAAAAAATCAATAAAATATAAAAAATATTAAAAACTTGAGAATTTAAGTTAAATATGTATGTAAAAATGCAAGAGTAATTACTATCCTAGAAATAATATGTTATTTCCAAACCAGAAGTTTATGAAAAAAGGAAGTAAGGAAAAATTCAATCAATACTTCATAAATCAGAAAAGAAGGGGTGTAGGGGAAGAATCAAAGCATCAGACACAGATAATTTAAAAATAAGATAACAAAATTCTAAATATATGAATAGATACATTAATGTAAATAGATTAAACTTTCCCAACTTAAAAAGGATAATTAGATTAGAAAGGATATTAAATTTTTAAAAAAATCAATTTCACAAAAATCAACCACTATTCGAAGGGTGCTACTGTTTCTCAAGAATAAAGAACTAGAACAGTAAATAGAATGGTTTTTTTTTTTTTTTCAATATGCCAGTAGCTTTAACAATCCCATAGACAAGTGGTCTGAAAACCCTGATTCATACCAAGTTACGTAGCAGCAATGGAATTAGAATTCCCCAGTGCGTTAAGACTTGTTCTTTGGAGAATCAATGAACTTTCCTGCAATATTCTACTCCCATTTCTCAAGAAAAGCTCTTGACAAGGTAATGATTCAAGAAATAAAGAGTGACTTTTAAGACATTGGACAAGACTTCTTTTATGATCTTTGGCACAGTCTGTGATGCTAATATAAAAGCAATGATTCCCAGTGACCTATTGAGCTTTTTTCATCAAAGTAACAAAACCAGATATGTTACCAGGTACCATCAGATTTAATGGCAATCCACTTTTCACTGTTTTATGTCTCAACAATCTTTCCAATTTCCAAAATGGGTTCACAAAACAAGAATCTCTGATGGTATCAGCATGCTCTTAAAGGACAAAATGGAGAAACTAGCTTCATTAAGAAACATTAGAATTCATTCAGTTACTTGCAGAAAGAAAATGGCATCATAACCTCCAATTCCTTTAAAACCATGATTTGAGACTGCAAGGAAAAAGTGGGAATAATTCTGGAAGAATAATGTCATCTGAAAGAGGATTTCACTGTTCTGTTCACAGTAACAAAACACCCAAATTTCATAGAGCTTCATCTGGACCTCTCCAATCGAATTGTTACTTTTACTTATAAGATTTTGTAAGATTAGGCTTTTGTGTTGGAGCAAATTCAAATAGAGGGAAGTTTCCAGCCTTTTCTTCTTTCTTTTGTTATTATTGTTAGTCCTTACCCAAGGTTGTTTTTTCCATTAATTTTTAGAGACAGTAGAAGGGAGAGAGGGAAAGAGAAAGAGAGAGAGAAACACTGACGTAAAAGAGACACATGGATTGACTGCCTCCTACAAGTGCCCCAAAAAGGCAGAGATTGAACCTACAATTCAGATAAACACCCTTGACTGGAATCAAACTGGCGAAACTTCAGTGAGCAGGTCAACCCTCTAACCACCAAACAACACTGGCCAGGGCAGTTCCAGCCTTTTCAAATTAAACCACCTTCTTGTCAAAACAATTCACACTGTCCAGTATATTTTCTGGCTGGCAGACATACTAGTAGAGGCTTCTTCAGCTTTGTTGGCTTCCAGCTTCTATTAGCAAAAATATTGCCTTACAAGAAAAAGCAGGATTTTGTATCCCTGTACACTTAATCTTTACAATAAGATCAAAGGGCACAGTTTTTGTCCTGCTTCCATTTTCATTTTTTTATTGTATTTCAAAAACATGTTTCCATAGTTTCTGAGCCTTTTGGCTAAGATCAACTGTAAAAATATTTTTCCATTTAAACTAAACTCTACATGAATACAGATGGCATGGTAAATGTCCCTGTACATAACCTAACTAGATATACTAATGCTCCATGACACCCTACATTTGTAAAAATACCCAAACAATTTTGACTTTCTGGAGGGGGGGGAGAGGGGGGAGGGAGAAGAAGACACTTTTAAAAAGGAAATTTCAAAGTAGTAGAAAAATACATTTTTAAAACCTTTTAAATTAATTACGTTACATCACAATTTAAATTAAGTCAACATTTAGCTCAGTAATTCTAAAATTATAAATCCTAAATATCATTAAGACAATCAATGTTCAAAAGATGGTTTTCAAGTAATCAACAAGCTTATGCAGCTTTTCTCATCTAATATATCATTAACATCTTTGAAATAACCATGTATTGTTTACGTTAATGAAACTTATTTTATATTAATATCAATCATCCAATCAAATATCAATCAATCGAATATCAATCATCCAATATCAATAACAGAATAAATAACATATTTATATCCACTTACTGCAATCTCTCTACAAGCCGACATGGATATTCCTGTGCCTTCAATTTGCTTCAATGCATATTCCTTTTCATCTTTTCTGCATATGAACACAAAAAAATTACATTTTCAGATTTAAAATTATAATTACAAAAACAATGAAAATGTACTAGTCTCTCAGTGATATGTAAACACTCTCACATGCATGCACTGCTTGTTGTTTCTGATACTTTAACTACAGAAATACAAAATACCAAAATAAATTAATGTCACAAGGAAAATACCAGAAAGAGCCAAAACATAAAATTCAAAATTAAAACAGAATAGAATACTGAACAAGGCACTGGTTTCAAAAAGTAAACAAGCACAGCCCCACTGGTATGGCTTAGTGGTTGAGTGTCAACCTATTAGTCAGGAAATCGTGGTTCTATTCCCCATCAGGGCACGTTCTTGGTTGGGGGCTCAGTCCCCAGTAGGGTGCATGCAGGAGGCAGCCGATTAAATTCTCTCTCATCACTGATGATTGATTCTATTTCTCTCTCTTCTCTCTTCCTCTCCGAAATTAATAAAAATATTTTTTAAAGTAAATAAGCATAAATATCAACTCAAGTACACTACAAGATAATTCTACTCCTATCTTAATTATCTGAAGTCTATGAAAGCTACAAACATAAATGCCAGATGTAAACTCCTATATTTGTTTAAAGTAATTTCATAGTCTCAGAATTGCTTATTAGGAGGGAGAAACTATAGAAGAATATTGACCCGCTGGGAACCCTAGTTCTCACATAGTATAGGGAGCATTCAAAAGCTCCATTAACTCAACATAAAGCCTTGGAAAGACTTAAAAACTCTACCACCATCTTAAGAACTCTTAGAAAAACTAGTAGGAACAGTCAATATTCCAAATAATGGAGGTAGGATCAGGGATTGTGAGGAACCACAGTAGTTACCAGGATGCTTAACCAAGTGAAGACTGCAATTCAAAAATGGTGATAAAGTTCACAAAAATAGTAATAGTATATCAGATCAGTGGCTAGAACCACACAGTATCCTCAGGTACTGACACCAGAATCAGCCACACCAAGGCCCCAGCTGCATGCCACAAATGTGGTTCATATTGAGGGTTGTTCTGATAAGAGTATAACCCATACCCTCTAAATTTTCTTTTGATTATATTAGAGCCTCAGCAAAGTATCACCATGTTTTGCCAAATGATAGTACATAAGTGGTGCCACACCCTGTCCTACTTACCTATTTCGCATTTTCCCCATTCTGCGTTTACAAGCAGATAAATCAGATTAAGAAGTTATAATATGCATTTAAAGCAACTTAAATGCCTTTTGAAGATTTTCACAAACATCTGTTTTGGGCAAATAATTGAGTAATGGTTACTTTCCCCCACAATCGGTGTGAAAATTTATATCCATTACTTTTCCAGTACATGGCATTCAAGATAAATAGCAGTATTTTTTTTTTTACTTTCCTCTTTATTTTTGTTTTCTTTTTTTATAAGCAGCATTTTAATAAAAAGAAAACACACCAGATATTTCTACAGGATGGACTGCTATCAATTAATAAAATAATAATTATGAAGGACATTAGAAACATGAAAAATGTTTACCATTTTCTACTGAGAATTACACAAATTATACCATATAAAAATACTCATATCTCTAGTCATATGTTGAGGTAATATAACTAATGAAAAGTAGTTGTGTTAAGATGGAGAAAGTTACGTTATTAGCTTTAGTACTAACATTAGTAAATGTCTTTTAAGTAAGAATTGAAGGAACAAAGAAAAGAGCCAAAATAATTTGACATCAGAAAACAGTTACCTACTAAAACAATCTTTAGTATTTTCAAAGTGCTATCTTAGGTATGTTTTCAAGAGCAAAGTAAAAAACATGGAAAGCTTAAGTGATCATTTTTCCTTTTTCTCTGTCCTGTTTCCTCCAAACATAAAACTAGACTTCCAAACTACTCATAAGTCACTAAGAAATACAAGCAGCAGGTAACTGAATGTCATTAAAGCCAAATGTCCCACCCCACACCTACAATTAGGGTATCCAAAAAAATGTATACACATTTTGAATAATTAATTATAAACGCAGTGCTTATTAAAATACATTTCTTTTTAAAATTAAGCTATCAGCTGTCACAGTGTACATGCATTTTGGGGGGACACCTTGTGTATGTGTGGGTATGTGAGAGCACTTGTGCCTGAGAATTTAACACAGTGCTTACAATGTAAAGTTCATAATTAGTAATTAAATTAACTAGTAGGCATCTATTACAGAACATTTAAGTATAACAAATTATTAAAATAAAATTATATAAGCTTTCTGAAAAATTTTTAATTTGAAAGCATAATTTTTTAAAACAAGTATTTCAATACTTAGTTTCCCTAAATAAAGTCTTCCAGAAGCTCATGTAATTGCACAGTTTTATTTTTAATACTGTAAAGAATATTACACAATCTGGATGGGTTATCGTTGCTATGGAAACTATAAAATTTTTGCAGTGAATCAAAAAGTACAAAATTAACACATCACATTAATGACTTTAGAATTTTACATTGAGGCTGTCAAAGGCATGTGAAAGCTTGAGCAGAACAGACTGAAGTATAAGCTTCTTATTCTGAATTACGTGGATAGGAACTAGGAACAAACCCAGTAATTATTTCACTTAATAAATTTAAATATTACTTCCATCTGTTAAATTAATAAAATACTCCAAGGTCTGCAAACTTAAGAATTATTTGCAACTTTCAGATTGAGAATCCAAACACATATATCATTACCATTTCGCTTGTATGTTAACTGTCAGGTAGTAAGTGATGATATGGCCCCTCTGAGGTTCACCATATGAACAAGTGGCAGAATCCCAGAGGGCACAGGGGACCCACTTTTACCATGGTACTATGTCAATGCCAATCTTTGGTCACATGCTACAAGGCCCACAAATATTTTAATGGCTAGCACACGGGGTAGGCAAACTTTACTGCTCTCAATCCATGTGAGTGACTCTCTCCAGGAATTCCTTCAAATGGAAATGACAAGTCATCCCCACAGCTTGTATGTCTCAGGCACAGATAATTATTAAACGCCATAGGTATAATTTGTTCTTTTACATAACAAAGCTGAAAAGAGGTGAACTTCACCTATAATGTTATGATGGTATGGCTTTCACAGGCAGCTCAGTTCTTCCTCACAGCTATTTTATTTCTAAATAAAAGCAGTTTATTGTTTACCATAGTAAAGACAGACAAAGCAATTTCAAAGCCTTCGGGTAAACCGCTTTCTAAATTTTAGAGCATGTTAGATGCCATGCTAAGTTAGAGCACCGCATGTTTCAAACAATCAAAGCAGTTTACTAAAAAGTGCAGAACTAAAACTATATAAATCTGTACTATAAACATAGATATATCTAATATAGTAATATTTTTAATTTAATGAATTTAATGACATTTCTCCTAAATGTTAGTAATATATAGCAAAACCAAGAAGGTTTCACTCTCAACAGTCACAAAGAAAGTATTTAACAGGAACATTATGTAACAACAAAATAAAAAAATAAAAAATTTGGCAGACACTGTGATCCTACTACTTTTTCCCTCTGAGACACTATGTTCTGAAAAACTCTTGATGCAAGCAATTCTATAGATAGAAGAAAAAACAAAAAGCACATAGTTGTGCAAACTGTAGAAATCATTGCCTTAAAATTTCTACCAGACTCAGTAGTAATATTTCAATGTAATTCAGGGAAGAATTGCTCAAGCTAAAGAAACAAGTTCAGTAGGAACATGTCTTAAATGAAATCTTAGGAACTGGTTTAATGAAAAAGATAGTCTTATACCTTTCAATAACGTATAAACTTGGTGACCAGCCTCCAGTCACTTTTAAATTTAATGACATTTCTCATATATGTTAGTAATGTACAGCAAAACCATGAAGCACCATGCAGCAGCCTGTATGCACAAGTATGGTTAAGGTCCGGCCAAAACTCCATTTGTTATCATCAAAACTAAACAGATCCAGGGCTTGTTTTTTGTTCCTATCAATAGCACCATAAGGTATTCAGATCAGTTCTGAGCCATCTTTAATCCCAAGAACCTTTGAAGACAAAAATCTACAAGTGTCTTTAAAAAAAAAAAAAGAGGGAATTCAAGCTTAAGCAAGACTGAGAGAAAATTTTTAGTCTTCAAACTAATAGGGTTAAAATCCATTTTTGTTTCTAAGGAAAACAGAAGTACCTAACAAACTTATTTTACATCAACCAACAAACAAACCCTGAGTAAATAGTGCATGCTCAACACTATGCCAAATTCTTTTTCTTTTTTAATTGTGTAATTGTCACCACTATTGAATTCCAGAACATTTTTTTAAAATATAATGATTTTTTACAGAGAGGAAGGGAGAGGGATAGAGAGCTAGAAACATCGATGAGAGAGAAACATCGACCAGCTGCCTCTTGCACACCCCCTACTGGGGATGTGCCCACAACCAAGGTACATGCCCTTGACCGGAATTGAACCCCGGACCTTTCAGTCTGCAGACCGATGCTCTATCCACTGAGCCAAACCAGTTTCGGCAACACTATGCCAAATTCTAAGGGTGAACAAAAATTAGACTACTCTGGATAGCAGAGTTCAAAATCCAGCTGAAAGAGATTCTGGGTGAGTGGGAAATAATAGACAAATAACTGATATGACTCCTTCTGCACTCAAAAGGTATGCATAACAGGAACAGAAAGAATGAAACTAATATTTCTTCCAGAGCTTTAAGAAAGGAAATTAACTACTTGAGTAATGCCTTTAAGAGAACAGTTTCCAGAGGGAAGGGATCAGGAGATACAGAATTCTAGGCAGAAGTGTAGCATGAGAAAAATAAAAGGCATCTTCAGAAAACCACTGGTATTTAGTATGGCTGGCAGCTGGGGGCATGTTGACAAGAGGCAAGAGATGAGAATAGAAAAGTAAAGGGAATGGACCATGTGAGCTAGCAAAAAAGCTTATACTTCATATGTAAACAATGTGGAGCCAGAGGTTTTTAGAACAGAGAAGGTACATTAACAGATCTTTAGTCAGAAGGATAACTGTGATGGTAGACCAAATATTTGGTAGGTTGCATCAAATGTTCATATTAGAAAAGATGAAAAAGATTAGAATAGTGACAGAGGAGAACAAATATGGATTTCAAAAGGCATTTGAATCAGAACTGACAGATTTGATAACCAATTTGATTTTGTAGATCAAAAAAAGATTCCGAAGACAAAGTTTCTACTTTATCTAATTGTGTAAATGATAACACCATTAACCAGAGAAATTATGTGAATTTAAAAAAAAATGGAGACCAGATAATGAGTCTATTCTAAAGGCAACGAAAGTTAGGTATGAAGATTAATCTTAGTAAGAAGAACTGAAATTAGAAGTGTGAAAATCTAATTAATTAGGAGGTTACTGTAAATGTAAGATGGTGAGAACCTGGACTAGTGTAATAGAAAGTTAGCTCCAAAAGGTGAAGAAGCTAGGCCAGCAGCTAGAAGCAGAATTGAGACAAAAATCTTCTAATTCCAAGTCCAACATTCTCCATAACAAAATGGTAACAGTAAGACTAGAGAAAAGAAGGAACACTTGTGACAGTAATTTTTAAGGAGGAGTTGGCAGGAACAAATGAATAAATAATGACTAAGATGATTGGATCAGGTTAAGTCGGGGGTTCTGTGCTTGGCTGATGGGGAAGATGTGTCATTGAAAACAAGAGTTGGGTCAGATCTCAGACTATTCTTCAACTCATAAATGGTTCTTTTACACAGAAAAAATTTTCAACCCAAAATGAAAATATCTGAGAAGCTCCAAGAGGAGATATCCTAAAGATGTTTCTTGAGAGCTATCACAGTAGTTTCAGATTGAAAGGCCTTGAGCCTACATGAGATATTGGATTAGAGGAAGCAACACATAGATGATTATTTTGGTGCCCAAGAAAAAACTTGAGACAAGGAGGAAAGGAGACAGAGAGAGGAAAGAAGAGATAAAAGAACAATTTCTGAGCACTTCTCTCTCACAAACAATTCTATGAATTCATCCTTCAGGTTTTCTTTTCAAAACTGTAAGAGTAAAATTCCAATAATTAAATCATCAGAATAAAAATATCCAAGATGGTACGATATGACCAGTTTTTATAACCACGTGTTACCAGTAAGACATTCTTCAAACAATATGAAACCTGAGTCTTGCCAACAATTTTTTTTTCTTCAAGAACAATGTTGGTGCTCTGACTGGTTTGGCTCAGTGGATAGAGCATCAGCTTGCGGACTGAAGGGTCCCAGGTTTGATTCCAGTCAGGGGTATGTGCCTTGGTTGTGGGCACATCCCCAGTAGGGGGTGTGCAGAAGGCAGCTGATCGATGTTTCTCTCTCATCAAAGTTTCTAACTATGTATCCCTCTCCCTTCCTCTCTGTAAAAAATCAATAAAAATATATTACAAAAAAGAAGAATGTTGGCATAAATCCATGTTATATCCTTTTTCTTTATTTTTTAAAATATATTTTATTGATTTTTTACAGAGATAAAGGGAGAGGGATAGATTTATGATGATTTGGCTTAGCTGATTAAGAGACCTCCACATCACACACACAAAATTTCATAAACTCAATATTCACACAGCCTGGTAGTAATGATTCCTTACTTGGAAACTCTTTATTATGTAATACCATAATATTTTTTTTTAAAAATTTATCATGAAATTTTCCTAAAATGAGCAAATAAATGACAGCCTGGCCAGTGTTGCACAGTGGTTGGAGCATTGTGGACTGTGTCCCGCGTTCAATTCCAGTCAAGGGCACATACCTCAGTTGCAAGTTCCCTGACCTTAGCTGGGGGTGTGCAAGAGGCTACCAAACAATGTGTCTCTCTCACATGGATGTTTCTCTCTATATCTCCCTTTCCCTTCCACTCTCCTTAAAATTCAATGAAAAAGGAAAAATATCCTTGGTGAGTTTTAACCAAAAAAATAAAAACAGCTATAAAAGTTTCTGTATATTATTTAGAGCTAACAAAGTGCCTTGCAAATAGTAGAAACTCAACTATTGTTGAATTGAAATAAACTTATTAGTCTTTTTTAAATGATTTTAGAAAGAGATGAAGGGAGAGAGAGAAACATCGATTTGTTGTTCCACTTATTTATGCATTCATTGATTGATTCTTGTATGTGCCCTGTAGGAAGCAAACCTGAAACATTATATATCAAAAGAGAAATTAATAGTCAAGATGTCAACAGCAATACTTAATACTTAAATATATAGTTTTCACCATACTATTGAACGTTCTGCCAAACCTAGACTACTGAGGAATCTTCTTTTGATAAAATTTAGGTTTTGCATGTTTTTCAAAGCTGATCTTAACTATTGTGACAACACAGAATGTGATATTATAAGAAATATATATTTCAAACTTCCTCCACGGTTCCTGGCTCACAGCTCCTAAAAGCCCTGTAATTTCCTAAGTGATTAGAGCATAGAGTACCTTTTACCATAATATATCATTTTTGTTCCAGAATAGCTCCAGAAGGATAAATGAAAAAAAGTTATTCATAAAAAGCCCCTTTCAACCACACCTGAGTTTTGGAAAGTCCCTAGCTAACCAGTGGACAGGTGGCTGGTTGTCAGGGAAACATATCAGGTGATTACAACTTTCAGCCCTTCCCACCCCGAGAGGGACTAGGCAGGCGTCTTCAAACTACGGCCTGAGGGCCACATGCGGCCCGCAGAGGAGTCTGATCCGGCCCACCAGGTTTTTTGGGCAGTGAGCGCAGCCGAGGTGTTACAGTAGGAGTTAATAGTTCATATAGTCCGGCCCTCCAGCTCTCTGAGGGACCGTGATCTGGCCCCCACTTTAAAAAGTTTGAGGACCCCTGGTAGAGGTTGAATTACCAATGGTCACAATTTAATCAATCATGCCTACATATTGAATACGCCACAAAAATCCCTAAAGTACGGAGTTCAGAGAGCATCTAGGTTGGTGAATCAGAACATGTTCACTTGCCGGAAGGGGAGCACACCCCAAACTTCATAGGGATAAAAGTTCCTGTGCTTGGGACCCTTCCAGGTATAGGCCCAACCCTATGTATCCTTCATGTGGCTGTTCATTTTTATCCTTTATATGTTCTTTGTAATAAACCAGTAATCTAGTAGGATTACTAGATTTCCTGAGTTGTGAGGCATTTAATAAATGAATCTGAGGAGGGAGTCATGGGAACTTCTGATTTGAAGCCAAGTCGGAAAGAAAGTGGGGACATCTAACTTGGGGACCCAACACTTGTGCCTAGCATCTAAAGTGAACTGGGCTTACCTGTGCAGTCTGTACCAACTCCAAGTAATTAGTGTCAAAACTGATTTAAAACTGTAGAATACCCAGCTGGTGTCAGAGAGTTAGTCAGTATTGGGGGGGGGGCGGGGGGGGGAGACACATTATCTGGTATCAGAAGTATTCTGGGGAATGTTGGATGTAAGTGGAGTTGTGAATAGAGAAGCAGAATTTTCTTTTTCAGAAAAACTAGTTCCTAATACTATAGTAAGTACCCTTACCAGAACCCAAACCTTTTGAGCCATTATAATCCACAATTTCTTAAATAAACTTGAAAGAAAAAAGTGAACTCCT